GGATTCTAATGAACTTGGTTTTCAGACAAACTCAATGCAACTAGTCACATTTTTAGTCTTTTGACGTTAGGCACTCATCCTAACTAGAAAGATATTTTTTAATGTTGCTTCAAGTTGTCTAAATGTATTTTTCCTATCACAAAGACTGTGGCCTAGATCTGGCAGGGACCAACTTGAATTTGTGTCCATTAGGATAGAAGGCTTGAACTATTTATCCAAAAATAAAAAATGAAAGGATAGAAGGCTTAAACAAGAAATACTACACATCGAATCTGCTTTTGTAGATATTTTTAGACAGCTGTCTTGCTTTTGCATCCCTCCATACGTGTATGGAGGGATCTCCCTCTTGTAAAGCTTGTCTTGTAAGCTTTACAAGACATATAGAGGGAGGCTCTCTCTAAAAGCAAAAAAGAGAGGACTTAGGTTAGAGAGTTTAGATTTTTTGAGAGCAAAAACAGCCATTGTTAAGCTCTGAGAACCTTTGGTGGTTAGTCATTTTGGAGAATTCATAGTTGACGATGTTTTCAAAAAATTCGCAAACCATGTTGCTGATCATCTATGCTCAGAGAAATCCAAGTTCATCAATATCGTCGTTTCATTGTTGAAGAAGTAATAAATTGACAAAGGAATGACCTCAAAACAAACTATTCCGATTTCCTTAGATTTAAGAAAATAAACTGTTTTATTTTTTATATTGAACTTGCTTGTAGTATGCAGATGTATCTTTTAAAGAACAAGTTGTACCAGTTCTTGATATTAAACTGCTTATAGTTTGCATGTATATGCATTACATGTTAAATAATAATAACTTATGTTTTTAATATGATTTAAAAGTTATGCTTTATTTACATTAATATGTGATGGGTTAATTTGCTAGTTTGTTGCATATTGGAGTAACAATGGAAGAGAGAATTCCATCTACCATACCAAGCCACCTATAATGAGAAAGTTTTGGCATTTGGGTTTGGCAAGGGCTCGCAAGTAATTTTCAGAAGAACATCTATAATAGATTGTGATATTTCAATTGTGTTAATGTCACATTTTAATAAAGCATTAAAATCTCATATTTTGATAGACTTACTCAGTAGTGTATATGCTACTTTTAAAATGATTTAATTTCTACCATAAGATAGAATAAAAAAATCACAATGATGAAATCAGAGAGAAATTACAAGATATAGCAATAACAAGAAGGTAAAAGTTTGATGATGTTGACAAAATCTGAGAAAATAACATTGTACTCCCTCCAAAGTCTCAAGTTTGAAACTTTTTAGGTGCAAATAATTTTTTGGGGTCAATCTATATATACAAAACTTTGTCTCAGCTTTAATTGGTATTAATCGATTAGTTAGTTTAATTAACCGAATACCGAATTATAAAACAAAACAAAAAAAAAAAAAGACAAAAAAAGGGGAGAATTCTTTGCAAGGCAAAGTTCCATAATAAACTTGACACCAAGAAAGGAAGATTCAAATGAACTTTTGGAACTAAAGTTGAGTATATCAGCAACTTTCTATGTAAGCTAGAAATAGTAAAATTTGAACCAAAATCAACTAGCTATATTCATAAATCTAAACTACCTTTCAGAATCAACCTTCCTAACAATCAGATCAATTTTAGCCTATGATTGTTTTATGAGGAAACAAATTAATCAAAACAATGCAGATCTTACTTTTAGTAATCATAGGCAACTTTTAATATCATTTGAAGAAGGGAAATTCATTCATTCACATTTCAAATAGTGACTTCACATAGCTTTAGCATACAGCAATAGTGTTCAAATAACAGCAAATAAATGCATTTATCTCACATTTCAAAAGTCATTAATTATAGAGAAAATTTCACTTTGCACCCCCAAATTATCATTTAAAAACCAATTTAATCCTTATTCTTTTAATAATATTAGTTTTACACAAACTATTTGATTTTGAATCAATTTACCTCCGTCATTAGTTGCCGACTATAATCAAATGAAAATTGATGACGTGATACTGAAACTTCAATTGAAATTTTATTTTATCCTCCAAATTATTCTCAAAATATCAATTAGACCCCTAAATATATTTATAAAAAAATTTAATTTAAATATCTAATAATAATTTTCATCTAAAAAAACGAGAAAAATAAATTTTAAATATAAGATTTATAAAAAAAATATTTAAAAAATATTCCTCATTTAAAATTTTTGCTTTTAAGTCTCAAATTACCTTTAATCAGCCCTAGAGAAACTAATTGAGTCCAAAATTCTGAGTCTAATATCTGTTTCTCTCTTAGCAATTGTCGCTAACTTATTATGTACGGATTTTTACATCAATAAAGTTCTTTCTTTGCCGTTTATACGTTGACAAATTGTGTGGGTAAAAATTTAAACCACACATAATCTGAGATAAATATCTTTCTCCGAGATTTAAAAAACAATATTGAACGACAAAATTATTATTAGATATTTAATTTTCATTTTTTTTTATATATATTCAAGGATTTAATTGATATTTTGAAGAATAGTTTGGAGGTAAAATAAAATTTCAAATGAAGCTTCGGTGCCACATTAACAACTTCTATTTAATTATAGACAGCAACAGATGATGATGGGAGTAAAATTGACTCAAAATTGAATAGTCTAAGTGTAAAATTGATAATATTAAAAGAATAGGAGTTGAATTGATTTAAACTTGGGGAATTACACTGACATGGTAGTCAAAAAAAATATTTACAAATAAGTGGTAAAGATTATAAATATTAAAAATTAAAATCATAAATCTTATCATCAATATGTAACATTTTTTCAAAACACCCCCTGAATGATAATCTTCTTTTGTATTGTCAGCCTTACAAAAAGACATATTCATAGTTCCGTTGTAATTGGTCAAACTGCATCATTTCCATGTATTCTTAAAAATAAGGGCATTCACAGAAGTAAATATATAGTAGTAATAAATATCTACCCTGCCCCAAATCAAATCCCCAAGCTGACAATACAAAAGAAGAAGAAATTAAAGTAAAGATGCTACGAAGATAGGCTTCATACATGATGCAGGCATGTCTTCCCTCATCACAGCAGGTATATATACATGGCAGACTTGTTCAAAGTGAGGCATGGGGTTTTGGCTTAGAAGACATCGCTGAGAGGATCCTGGCGAGTGAGGACATGGAACTCA